AAAAAGAAATTATCACCCAACTTGACTCTCACTGGGATTAAACACGACAATAGGTCTGATCTGATTTCATCATCATTAAAAAAAATCATCTATTATTTTTCACTTTATGTTTCTGTGTGGGAGCAAACTGTTGAAATCCTTACTTAATGTATACTAAGCTGATCTTCTGTATATTAAGATAATCGAAAATGAATCTTGATGTGAATGGAAGGGGAGAGGGAGTGGGAAAGGGGAGGGTTGTGGGTGGGAGGGACGTTATGGGGGGGAAGCCATTGTAATCCATAAATCGTACTTTGGAAATTTATATTCATTAAATAAAAGTTAAAAAAAAAAAGAATTTTAGAGCCCCAGACACCTCCCCTATCTTTTCCCCCTTATTAGGCTTCTAAAAAAGCTTTCATTGGAAGAATGTCTTTCACAATTGAAAAAAACAAAATAGAAATTTTAAAACTGAGTCAAATAATGATCTGCTATGACTTTTACTTTGTATCACCAGGATCCTGATATGTTAATGGTTGTAAACATGGGATCAGTGGGCAGTATCAAAGGTTGTAACAACTAGGAGAGAGCTAGGAAGAGTTATAACTCTGGGAATTGACATGATGTAGCAACTAAACCAGGATTCCTCTCTGGCCTGGCTCCCTTTTGACCCCATTCACCTGCCTTTTCCAATTTCTTGCCACACAATACTATTGTCTGAATTTGCAATCCTGCAGGATTATATTAGATACAGAGAAGTTAAAGAAAACATTTTTAATAAGGGATATTGTCTTTGTGGAGAGTGAAAGCTAATTATGCAGTGGTCACATAAATCAAACCAGTAAAAATAGTATTTGCAAGATATCAACAATAGAAACTAGTGGCTAGGTATTGAGAGATTTTATCCATTTTCAACAGTAAGCATAAGAAGCAAATATACACTTAAATCTTTTCACTCCGTGCATTAGATACTGGTTTTGTGTTTTTTCTCTAGCTTCCACAAACATCCAAAAACCTGTTTAGTCATCAGTTATGGCTTGCAAGAGGTTGGAAAATGTTGTCATGTGACTCAGTCAATAACTATGCCAGTCGGTGGCCATCTATTTCATAGAGTTTTTGCCTATTGTGGCCTTCACCACGGGCACTATTTACATTTAGAACAGGATGATCTCTCGCCTGGCTCCCTGTACTTGTGGCTGTCACTCTTGTTATTGTTGGCTGTTGATACACATGTTGCACTGAGCTTCTGTGTACCTGAGTAGACTCAAAACTAGTTTGCATATCTTTCATCTAGGATTGCATCTGTTTATCATTTCAAGTAATCCAACAAAGATCTGACTATAGATGACTGTGCCCTACAAGCCTAAAAATTTGGTGTGCTGTGATTGCTCAATCAATGGTGATGAAATCACCCACTACATGTAGCTGCATATTAAGGTAACTAGATAAATCACTAAAGAGGGGATGAGAATGTATTGATCACTTGCCAAGCACCACTTGGAACTTTGCGTACATAAACTCATAAAGTAAGCTTCTCTCGTGTCAGTCACATCAAGCATTACACTAGAGTTTGGGGGAATTTGGGAGGTCAACTAACCTGACAGAGCTATTCACAACAAGCTAAAATAACAATTGCATTCAAAAGGCTGTAAAAATGGTGTTTGCTCCATCAACTGTAGAATTAAATGGTTCCTCCTTGATAGGTTATGATTCTTCATGAGTTATGAGCCAATCAATTAAACTTTTAGTAACTGATCTTTTTTTCATGATTTACAAGAATGATTCATCAATCAAAATTTGTGCCAGGTTCTGTAACAAAATGATATGATTAAAATTCTCTTATTGGTAAAGGCAATCTTATAAAATATTGTCAAGAGGATCTTTTTCCTCTAACTTTACATCCAAATACTGAGGAAATAGAACGTGTTTATAGGAAAAATATCTGCTTAGACACTTTCAATTTAATAGAACATGTATATTTTTATAAAGTAGACAGTTTACCTTATATCCATCATATTACCCTCCAAACTTAAAAACCTGATTATATATAAAAATCAAAAAGAGAAAACATGTTGCTACAACAAATTAGCAGAAATAATAAAAGCCAAAACACAACAAATTTATTTTTAAATTGCAATCACTCTTGAAATATCAATGGCCCTTCTCAATATAACCAAGACTCAGAGATCAAAAACAAGCAACAGGCAACAAAAACCATATAGAAAAAGCAGCAAATTTGCAATTGGAGAAGCCAGATCAAATCAGAATCTTACCAAAGAATCTTACAAGTCTGAGCACACAAGTAAATACCTCTTGAACTTCAATTTTCTCACCTACAAAAAATGGAATAATAATGTGGTTTTCCATACTGTGTTATACAACTGCTTGTGCTATATAGAATTAGTAATGCATACATCTTCTTTATACCCAAATATTTAGGACATATATCTACTTTGGAGAGTTTTATCCTTAAAATCAGGGCTCATAACTCCAGATCT